CCCCCCCCCCCCAGTCTTCTTTGGGGATATTAATAGGGCCTGAGACTCTGCAGTTGGTATAGAAAAGAGGCAAGCCATTCAGTAATGCCCAGCCAACCTGGGAACTTCTGAGCATGCTAGATGGTGTCCCAAGGAACCTCCAAACCCAGGAGCCTTTATCTTTTCTCTATAAAGGGCTGCAGTATTTTGTTTTCCAGAACAATAAGTAGATGAGTTCAGCAGTCTGAATTCCCAGCCTAAGTACAGATCACACATTTGAAATAATGTGCCTGAGTGATTGTTATGAGACAAGACTCTCCTGAGCTCTGGTGTGGGGACCGGCGGTAAAAGCCGGACTGATTGGTTAGACCTCTTGTGTCCACATGCCTGGGGAGAGCAGTATGTTGAGCAGTTGCTTTGAGTCTTCTGCTGTCAGCCCTTCCAATGAAAACCAGTGATAACTTCCAAAAATATTCACCCTTTTAACTTTACAGGCACGTGCTGCCGTCAGCATGGGCATGTTACCGGTAAAGGGAGATAAATGAAGCCTTCTCAGTGGGGGATATTTGGCTCTTGATGTCTGCACAGAGAGGATGTGAACTCAAAAACCAAAAAGCTTCATCTTGGAAAACCGGTTACAGTTGCCAAGTGACAGCAAAAGTACTTGCTTAACAGACCATCAACCGAACCCAAGCACTTAGAAACCATGGTCATAAGTAATTAAGGACATCAAAAATTTTACAGTGCCACAACATAAACCTTATATAGAGCTTAGAGGAGTGCCTATTCCATTAGGATATACCATACTTAACTCTGACCTTAGAAGTCCCCTAATGTGTAGTCTGAGCTATTTTGATTGTAGCATCTAAATATTTTATTTTATGTTATTATTTTATTTCGGTAAGAGATACCAGTTCATGGAAATATGATGACTTAATGCACTTATCAATCAACTGTTGAATCATTTGGTCAAATAGTAGTGTTTTCTGCTTTGTTGGAGTAATACTGCATATAATCGATGAGGTTATACATTTATGCGTATGTACATGAACCAGTAGCTTGAAGTTGCAGTAAAGTAGATTTAGGTTGGATATCAGGAAAAACTTCTTTTGTGTGCAGACAGTGAGGCAAAGCAGTAGACTGCCAGGGGAGGCTGTGGACTCTCCATCACTATGAAAGGCTAGGTCTATATTTTACTATGGGTATTTCCCATACTTCTGGGTTTTTCTGGTTGCTCTCTCCCCCTCCTCTTGCTATTACATGTGTTGCGTCAGAGTGTTTTTAAGCCTTCCTCAGAGGCATTGTGTGTTGGCCACAGCCAAGGCTGGGGATCGTGACTGAAGTTTGCCGGTGCTCCTACAGAGACTTAAAGCCAGAGGTTCCCGGCTGCAGAAGGTCTTGCCCCTTCTCTCAGGCTCAGACCGATCACCATATTTGTGGTCAGGAAGAAATTGTGCCTATGGTTGGATTGGTTTAGGACTGTGGGGGGTTTTGCCTTCCTTTAGCAGGGGGAAGTGGGATCTACCCAGGGTCTCTTAAGGGTATGCTAATAACCTTTTATAGAAGCAGGTGCCGGCTGTTGTGGTTCTTCTGCTTTACCTGTGGTGTGTTAGGGTGCTATGTCCGTGTTGTGTCAGGGTTGACAGTACTTCTGTCAAGTTTAGATTATAGATTGTATGGGATGGTTTGGATACTGCTGATCCTGCCTCAGGTAGGGGGTTGGACTAGATGACCTCTGGAGGTCCCTTCCCGCCCTACTTCTCTGTGCTTCTATGTGGACCTGCATTTGAGGCTACTCAGTTTGTGTCATTAATGTGTACATAATTGTTTCTTTTTCCAAAAGTGTTCCTTTTAGGCTTTTGTAATTACCGCTGGAAAAAAAAAGGTAGCATTTATCATATCAGAGTTAAGGTTTTTGCGTTTTGATGAAATACGGGTTTGTTTACTGTGTGGGCTGGGTAAGATTTATAATGTCCTTTAATGTATTTCTTTCCTTGTCTTTCTGGCGCTCTGATAAGTAAGTGTATTGTTCAGTTAACATCCTAATGGATTTTGGAAACTAACATGCTGGGCGCTATTGTATGCTCCGGGTATGCCTGGTTCAGAAGGAAGTAGTGTATGTTTTGAGAGGAGGCAACATTTCTGTTCTTCTGGCTGCTGTGCTCCCAGTCCATGACAGATGAGTCTGTGCGTTTGGTTGTGTGCGCTCAGGCAAGTCGTCTTGCTGTAGAGCCCTTTCCATGTGTCACCTTCACAGCTGCCTTCCGTCTGAGGCATCTCTGGGATTGACATCCAGGATAAACTCCCTGGTCATCTTGTGAGTCACTCTAACAAGAAGGAGACCTCTCCTGGCTCCAGCAATTAGCAGTGTACAGAGCTGTGGTCATAAAATAAGAAACCTTGGGTGGTGCTTGGAGGAGCCCAGACCTAGGGCTGCCTGTCTAGGGCTATTTCTGTGTTTCAGACTGCAGGGTACTGTAGAGATAAGGTACTAGAAGCAACATAGCTGCAGTGGCAGACATCTCGGTGTGGGACAGCTACCCTGCCATCAGACAGGGTACTACACTGCTGAGCAGCAAGGTGAGTTAGTTTTCATAAACCCCCATGCTGCCCTGACTGGACTCTTTCTGCTGTGCAAGCCGGCTAACATGGGCATCATTAAACCACCCAATGCTGCAGTCTGCCATAGGTGTTTATGCTGTGCTCTTTACCCCTGTCTCAGGTAAAGGATGTCACATCTTAGCCTTTAAATGCCTCTGTCCTAGAAAAAAGAGGCTTTAGTGTTAACTCAGGGAGTCTTCTGAGACAGAGGACTGGGGTAGATAAGGGCAGAGCAGGGGTCTGGGCCCTAGTGGAACAGGATTTGGTCTCATGCTGAATGTTCATATGTCTGTCCCCTCTCCCTCCATTACCTGGCCCACCCAAGGCCCCCTGTCTGGTCTCCCCATAGCCCCTGGACCAGCTGTGCAAGTATCTGATTGCTTGCAAGAGTCCCCTCCAGAGATGCATTGAGAGACTTGTGCCAGCACAGCAGGACAGCCTTCCTCCTTCTTCCCAGCTGCTGCCTCGGAAGGAGCTCGGCCTGCTGGGGCCTTGACATTTTTTGCAGCAGCCGCATGTAGAAGCTGGGGATAAAAGGATTAGTGGAAATGTCACTCTGCTCATAGTCTTGGGCTGCCCTCACTGGGTACAGTAGCTGGCAAGATCAAGGGATACTGTCTCAATCCCCAGCAACAGGAGCGGTTTCCTTTTGCTGAAGCTGGATGCGAGTCAGGGTGAAGACTGCCTGGCTGGTAGTGCGGTGGTCTTCCCCTGCTGCTGCTTCGTTGGGGATCTTGCCTCTGTTCCTTTAACTGTTTTTTTCACTAGGCCTTTGGATCATTTTCCCATCTGAGCCACTGGACCCCCCAGGTCTTTTCTGAGGAATAGCTGGGGGGCCTAGAGTCAGACTCAAGGGCCACTGGCAGGGCTGGTGAGGACTCATGTCCTAGAAGTGCTGCACTCCAGGACAGAGCTGCACTCATGCAGTGAACTTTTATTTGCTTTAATGGTTATTTTTGACCCCAGCTCCTCAGTGAAGTAATGCTTTTTCTCCCCTCAGCGTCTTTGAGAGAGGTTTCCACCTGTCAGGCAGCCTGGATTTCTTTGC